GGGGCTTATTCAGTCACTGAGAGCAACTGTGACTGAAGGTCTTTTGAGACACAGTCTATCTGAACTGAGGAGCCATCTCTAATTTTATTTATCTGTATGTGAAAAGAAGAATCACTTACTCAGGCTTTGAAATGACATTGTTCTGTCTTTTCTGACACAAGTTTAGGAAAGACAGTGAGCAGTAGAGAGCTGAGAGTAAAGGAGCTTATTCAGTCACTGAGAGCAACTGTGACTGAAGGTCTTTTGAGACACAGTCTATCTGAACTGAGGAGCCATCTCTAATTTTATTTATCTGTATGTGAAAAGAAGAATCACTTACTCAGGCTTTGAAATGACATTGTTCTGTCTTTTCTGACACAAGTTTAGGAAAGACAGTGAGCAGTAGAGAGCTGAGAGTAAAGGATGTATTTCCCAGACCAATATGTATTGTCTGTTTTCACCTGCTGTTTTTAGGTGCTAACTTGGAAGCAGTTGTGAAAAAAAACCCTATGATAGTGACCATAGGCTCAAGAAGTAGGAGTGCAGGGGGCTGCAGCACCCCCAGCTTTTGCACCCCAGATCCTGTCATCTGCCATCCCCAGGCTCCACTGCCACTCAGGGTCCTACTGCTAGCCTGGGGCTCCACAGCCTCCTGTACTTGCGGCTAGTTGCCAACTCTCCTGTTTTCAGCAATAGTGTCTGGTCCATCCAATCCAGGAGACTTGGCAACCCTAGGTATGACATCAGCCTGGGGCAATGAGATGTATAAACAAGTGGGGAGGGGCACATTTCAACACCCCCACTTTAAAAATAGTTGCAGCACCACTTGTAGTGACCACAAAGGGACTTAGGTCCCTAAATCTAGGCTTTAGGCACCTAAATCCCAGATTTTCTCAGCACTGCAATTCCTAATTCCCTCTTTGGACCTGGGCACTTCTGCCTCAGAAGAGTACAGTCACAAAGAATGTGTAAAACAATCACGATGAATAACTCTACAAGGCATATGAAACTAACAGGAAATGCAGTAATGTAAGTCATAGTGTTAGCCAACTTAGCAGACATTGGATTAATGAAATCATAGAAGGTGGAGGCAAGGTCTACTTACAAGGCATTCTTATGGCTTTTATATGAAAAATTAGGTCTCTCTACTTAATATAGGTACGGCACAAGTGACTACTAAAGAAGGGTTAGGGTACACAAAGAAGCGACCTCAAAGGTGGGAGGCTTGGGGTTGGGGCAGTCCTGGATGGCGGGTGGGGGAAGGGGGGAAAGAGGCCAGCTAGATGCTTTCACCTGCCTGGTGATTCTGTCTCTTTTTTGTATGGTTTTATGAGAAGCAATCCCATTCCAAACACATCTCATTTTCCTGGAATAACCAAACCATTAAGTTATGATAAGAGGAAGCTGTAAACTGAATTTGGTGGTCCTAGCTCTTACTGTTTAGGAAGCATTCTTTGATGGACAAACAGACAAACTCTCTCATATATACAATGGATAGTAAAAATGAGAAAGTAAGCACTTTTCAGTAATAAAGTGTGCTGTAGCACTTCTGTATTTGTAAGCAAGTAGTTTTTAAATGAAATTAAATTTGGGGGTATGCAAGACAAATCAGATTCCTGAAACAGATACAATAGTCTTGAAAGGCTGAGAACTACTAGCTTAGATGGCCTCAGTATATTCTTAAGCATTTGGGTATGTCATCAGCCTCTGCCACATTATGTATGGAAAGAATGTTCACTTTAGTAATTTTCCATTAATGTAGAAGACTTTTTAAATTTAGATTCATGTCTGAATTTTGCTCACACTTTTTCATGTAACAAAACTAATACTACGTTTCCAGGCAATGACAACAATAAACATGGGCTAACTAAAAAAGAATAAACAATATAAGTCACGCAATGGACAATGCTGAGTTGGCAAAAAAAAAGCTCTCACTTTATTATATACTGTTCTTATTGGGATGTATGATGTTCTCTGAAAGGTTAAGGGCAGATCAATGCATACTTACGTCTTCAGAAGGCTAAAAGGTGTGTAGTGACTGGGTATCATTAAAAATTTACTTGACCACAGGCATCAAATGGCCATGATTACATGACCCTGGTAAGCACTCTATCTTTCCATTTTACACATGTCATATTTAATATATATAAACTGTTGTATATACTGTTACAGTCATTCCACCTTCATGGCAACTGATGTCTTAGACATGTTTGGGAGGGAGGTATCAATTAACGTTATCTGTAAAGCTATGCCTGCGATTACTAGTACTTTACAACTTATCATTAGTGCATCTGACAGGATTTTCCCAAAGTAACATTTATTTTGAGGTTAATCAAAATTCTTAAGACTGTCATTTATTATAATCTGATTTTGGATAATTGTCCAAATCAGAGGCTCTTAAAGGAAACACGCTTGTCTCAATCTCAATCAATATGTGCATTAATGAAAAAACACCACACAACCCTCAGAGAAATTGAATTACATGCTATAAATAAATGGCCATTGAACATCTCATTATTTCAAAATATATCAATTCAATCTAAGATTTTTCAATCTATTAGGGGCGCGTTTTTTCTGGGACATGCAGGAGTATAAGAAGGTATATGAGGGGCAGTAATACATCTTCCTAATTCCAGGGAAAATTTATAGACCAGCCCTAGAGGTACATGAGGGGGGATGGGGGAAGAATGGAGGCAAAGACAGTGCAACCTGTGAATTCATTCCTTTGTACTGGGAATGCTGGTGAGGCATAATCCTTTCTACAAGATCCCACTTGGAGCAACCAGCTCAACCCACTCTCTGCACTGGGTTCCAAAACCCCTACAGTAAATAAATGCTAAGATTGCAGAGTAAAACATGCAAAAATTAGAAAATGCTAGATTTAAGTAGCCCATGGAACCTTAAATGCCCCCTTGTGTATTTGCATTACAATACAGTTAATCACTTCCTCCTTAGTTGCCTGGGTGTCAAACCAATCTCTATTGAGTATGTGTGACAGCTACTTTTCAGAGGCTTACCACTTGGCCCTATTTGTGTAATCTTTCATAAAGACAATAAAAGGCACAATCCTGAAACCAGGATCACTTACTTTCACATGTAATTTTTATCTCTTTGCCATGCCTGGCAAATTTTAAGCCCTGCTCCAAACCATGGAGATACTAATGCTTCTGAGGGTATGTCTACACTTGCAGCCTAATTAGAACTAGGAGTGCAAATGTAGGCATTCAGAATTGCAAATCAAGCCTGGGATTTAAATATCCCATGCTTGATTTGCATCTTCACAGCTGGGCATCATTTTTGAAATTTACAAGCCCAAAGTAAATACCCGCATCTACACGCAGCAATGAAACGGGCATTCAAAATAAAGCCTTAATTTGAACTACCTGTTATTCCTCCTGCAATGAAGTTTAACAGGTAGTTAGAACTAGGGCTTCATTTCGAACGCCCATTTAACTGCTGCGTATAGGTGCAGGCATTTACTTCGGGCTTGTAAATTTCAAAAAATGGCGCCTGGCCGGGAAGTTGCAAATCAAGCGCGGGA